TTTCACCTTTCTTGGCCTGCAGGACCGGAAAAGCAGCAGGCTGGCTTGGGTTATGCAAATGTGGTATAGTCCCTGATGCAAGGTAAATGGCTCCTGTTATTTCTGATTTCTGATTGGTCCATCCATGTCTCCATCCACAGCTGAAGTCTGCCTGGTAGGCTGCCGGATGGCTTAGAACACAAGATCACCCTCTGAGGTCAGGGGGAAGAAAGGTGCATGGGGAACTCTCGTGCTTAAGTCCTTCTCACTCCACCCCAACACCGGAGCTGGACCGGGAAACAAGAGCCTGATCCGTAAAGGGACGGGGCAGGTGACCAGCAGCCTAGATGCCACAACAAGAGGGTTGCTTCACTCTGCTCACTCACCTGTTGCATCTAAACCTCAATCATGTAAAAAAAAAAAAATCAAATGAATTCATTTTAAGAGAGAAGGTCTTTTAGGACTGGTGTTGGGGCATAGTAGGTTAAGCTGCCACCTGCGATGCCAACATCCCATTTGGGTGTTGGTTCAAACCTTGGCTGTTCCACTCTAGAGCCAACTCCCTGCTAATGCACCTGGGAAAGCAGCAGCAGATGGCCCAAGTGCTTGGTCCCCGGCACCCATGTGGGAGACCCAGATGGCGTTCTGGGCTCCTGGCTTTAGCTTGGCGCAGGCTGGTTGTGACCATTTGAGGATTAAATCGGGATAGAAGATTTCTCTTCTCTGCCTCTTAATTGCCTTTCAATTAAATAAAAGGATCTTTAAGAAATAAATAAAAGTTACACCTTCCTTAAGACAGAGAGGGAGGACTAGAAGCAAAATCTTTTTGGTTCAGGATTACTCAGGATTTGCTTGGTTTCTCCATAAAGGAGCCAATAGGCTTTCTGCTTGTCTGACTCCAGTCCCAACACCTGCTGCTTATTCAGTTATTACCCAGCAAAGCTGCAGGCCTGAATTCTTCCCCAAACAGGAGGAACAGAGGACAAATGAAGCACGGACCCAAGTTCGTCTATGGGGGTGTGTGTGTGTTCCAAATAACACACCCAGGCTCTACCTTGGTTGTTTCTCAAAATAATTTTTTTAAAAAAGCTTTATTTATTTTTATTACAAAGTCAGATATACAGACAGGAGGAGAGACAGAGAGGAAGATCTTCTGTCCGATGATTCACTCCCCAAGTGAGCGCAATGGCCGGTGATGCGCCAGTCCGAAGCTGGGATCCAGGAACCTCTTCCGGGTCTCCCACACAGGTGCAGGGTCCCAAAGCTTTGGGCTGTCCTCGACTGTTTTCCCAGGCCACAAGCAGGGAGCTGGATGGGAAGTAGAGCTGCTGGGATTAGAACAGGCGCCCATATGGGATCCCGGCACGTTCAATGTGAGGACTTTAGCCGCTAGGCCACGGCGCCGGGCCCAAAATCTTTTTTTTTTAATGAAAGAAAAAATATCTGTAAACAAAATCTGCCTTCTAAGATGAGCTGAAAATAACAAGCACATACTGGATTTGAGCAAGTACAATCTAGCATCACAGTCACAAGGCAAGCCTTCTCCCCATTTATTGGTTCCCATCCCCCCTCGTGAACAAGCAGCTCCTTGCCCACCACACAGCTGCCCGTGGCAAACAGGTCTCCTGGAGTACAGAACGTACTGTAATCCAATCGCCTTACGCTGCAGAATACGTTGAAAATGGTTAAATGGATAACTAGGAAATGCGTCCATGGGAAAATAAATGTGTATGGGGGAAAGCCACCCACAAAAGCATAAAGATGAAAATGCACCATGCCCTAGGAGTTCAGAATCAGAGTTTTGTTTAAAAAGACCTCTGAAAAAAGACAAGTGATGTTTAAGTTCCTGAACACCATGGCAACCTGCCACAAACACCCTGGAAGTCTTTACATCATCATGTCCGTGGGCCCCTTCTCTGCTTACCTTGGGCATAAAAAAACAAATAAAATAAAAAATTTAATTGCTTTTGGCAAAGACTAGAGAAAGAGTGCTGGCTTACAGGGCAACTATTCTTTTTAGAGGCGGGCTTTAGGAAGCACAGGAAGCAATGCCTAGTGGACGAACATAAGGGAGGGTGGTCTGAACAAAACAGGACAGGTGTGGCTGAGCAAGGAACGAGGCCTCCGGAAGCTAAGCCACCGTCATTCCCCGCTGACGCTAAGAAAGGTGCCTTTTGTCTTGTCTCTTCTCATGTGACTTCCAGTTACCAGTGGGGACCTAGCTCAACAGGACAAACTTAGATGGCATGAACCCATGTTGGGAGAGCAATCGCTGCAGTTACCCAACAGCCCACATTTCCAAACTTTGGGGATTTAAACAGAGATAGGAATACAGTGGTAGCTGTGGTTTCAATACACCGGACACATGGTGTTCGCACAAAACTTCCAGCTTTGCCACCGGTAGGGAAAGCGAGAGGTTGCAGGCTGAGTCTGCAGCGAGGCTCCTGGGAAAGCCGGCAAGTGGCGCTGTTTTGGTAACGGACGCTTGGTTTCCGGGACCAGCTAGAAGGGCAGTGAGAGACAGTTTCTCTGCTCCAAGCCCAACGCCTCAGCACCAGCTGTCCCTAACTTCCGGAGCTCATCCTGCTCGTGGCAGACATTGGCAGCTGTCTACGCCATCCTTCCAGGACCCCTGTTTTAGTCAACGCTGGTGGCCACACACTTCCACAGAGTAACGTTACAATGGCCACTTGACCAGTGGGATGGGGGGCGGGGCTATTTGCAGGAGATGAGCGTCCCCCTAAGCTGCCCCTTACTCTTAAATCAGGGCAGGAAGGTGGGGGCGGCGTCCTTTCCATCTTGGGCGCCCAGAATTGAGGAAGCAGCCTCGGCGAGCCGTGGGAGAACCGGCGGACAGAGAGCAGATGAGATGGGGTGAATCTGGTCACGACGCCATGGCCGAGTGAGTGCTCAGCTCGCAGCCCTGGCATTTCCGGCTTCCTGGGCTCTTCCTTTCGTGAAGAAAATTCCCAGTGCGTTTTGGAGGCGACTCCCGTTCTTTGGCATCTTCCTCTGAAATGTTGCAGCCTATCCTGCAGCGATGTGTACAGGCCCGGCTCTTTTTTTTTTTTGTTCTTTTTCAATGAAACCACTGCAGTTTCTCCCCAGGTCTCACTAGTTCCAGCTTTTTGGAGCGGCAAGCCTGCGCTGCACCCCCTGTCCAGAACACCCCCACTTCCTCCCTCAGGGCACGGGTGGAAATCCACCTGCTGATCTTGTGTCCTAGAACTTGCTCCAACTCCTTTTTCTGAACCTCGTGGCAGTACCGGTGCCTTCTTTTTTATTTTTATTCTTTTTTATTGGAAAGTCAGATTTACAGAGAGAAGAAAGATTTTTCATCCTCTGGTTCACTCCCCAAGTGACCACAATGGCTGGAGCTGAGCCGATCCAAAGCCAGGAGCCAGGCACAAGCAGGGAGCTGGATGGGAAGTGAAGCAGCCAGGACACGAACTGGTGCCCATATGGGATCCCAGCGCATGCAAGGCAAGGACTTTAGCCACTAGGCTACTGTGCCGGGCCCAGCACTGACAACCTCTAACCTTCCTGATTTGCTGATTTTTGCGCCTGCTCTGAGTACACAGCTAAAGGGCAGAGACTGAGAAATGGGTACAATGCATTGCTCCCTTTCACCTGAAGCTCGGGGCATGCTTTCCTCGTCTGATTTCTGAGGAGAAAAGGCACAGATTGGGAGCTCAGACTCTGAAGGAAGGACTGGATATTCTTAAAGTCACAGCCTTGAGTTACAGTTACGGGGAAAGAACCATGATGCCATGGGGAAGCAGCAGGTGCATACCATACCAAACAGCCCCCTGCTTTTGTACCTCCCTGGACACGCAGATGCTAGGGGTGGGAGGAGGGAGAGAGAAGGGGCATTCTGAGCAGAATGCACAGCGGGGGCCTTGCCCCTCCAGTGGGCACTCCACGGACAGCACGCCTTGCGGTCAGGTGCTAGGCTCATCCCTTGAGTCTCTCCAGTGAAACCAGTTGAGATAGAGATGCTGCAGGTGGCATCCCCTCTCCCACGGTAAGGAACTCCGCCTGGACACACTGATAGGGGAATGTTGTATCTAGCATGGACTTAGATTCCCAGCCGTGGATCCATTTAGCTGCTCTGAAAGGCAAAAGCTAGCATCTTTTTTTTTTTTTTTGCTTCAAAACTTCTTCAAGTGTTTGGTTAAAACTCAAAGCAGAGACCACAAATGGGCAGTCTCTGAGCTGGGACTGGCTCTGAGGAGGTGCTGTGTGGCACACGGGCCGGGTCTGTGATGACTGGCCTGCTGTGTGTGCGTGAGAGAGAGAGAGAGAGAGAGAGAGAGAAAGAGAGAGAGAGAGAGGGGGGGGGGGGCTCCAGGGCCATCCCTCTGCTGTGACAGCGGAAAGAGCATGGGCAAGGACCAGGATCCAGAGCTGCAGCGGCATCCTAGCAGGCAGGCAGTGCAACAACAGTAACAGGGGCTTCACTTGCCACAATAGCGGAAGTGCACTGTCATCTTCGTGAACTAATATGAAACCAACACTAAGAATTTCTGCATATCACACAATAAGAACTGCAGTAAATGTTGTGATATTCAAATGAGCACCAAACGCTATAAAGTACAATTGACAGCAAGGGTTCTGTTAGAGACTCTCTTCAACTATGGATGTCAAGGGCAGAGATATTATAACTATATATATATATATATTCTTTTAAAAAAATAAAGCTACTCCTGTAAAAATCTGCACATGCCGTCAACTCCTTTCTAAGCTGCTCAGCTTCCTCATGGTTCAATCCTGAGGAATGTATGTGGTTTACTTTTATTGTACTATTGTTACGCATGCTCTTTGATCATCCTTTCCTAAAATGATGTTTATAAAGACCTGTAAAACTTTTTTTTTTTTTATTGCATAGGACACGCTTCATGACACAGAGATTGGGAACTGCAAATATCCAGCACTGGAACAAGTTTTACAAATATTTCATTTTAACAATCTGTTACATACTTTTTTTGTTTGTTTGTTTTACAGTTTGTCTCTTTTAAAAAAAAAAAAAAAACAACTGAAGTGAGAGCTAAGAGTCAACCAGGGGACCGTGAAGCGCTGAGGGAATGTGAGGGTTAGAGCGTAAGATGAATGATACAAAGGAGAAAAGCCATAATTCTTGCCGGCTCTGTATTGTATTTCCTTCAAAAGCAACTGTACACGTCGTGATCGATTCATGGTTAAACATCTCTGCTAGTCTGCTTTGGGAGAGCAGAAGTCTTTCAGGGTTTCCAGTTCCTCTATAAGCTTCTTGTTCTGAACTTCCAGCACCGCCACTCGGCTCTCCAGACACTTCACATACTCTTTCTTTCGACGCCGACATTCTTTTGCAGCTTCCCTGGAAAAAAAAAAGGAGAAGCAAAAGGGCAAAGAGAAACGTGTATGGCATGCTATGGACAGACAGGCTGGAGTTAAGCTCAGAAAGCGGGATTCCGGGTGCGTTCCCAATTCACTGTCACGCGCTAAGGCAAACTGGATTCTTAAGGGTCCCCCCGTGCCCCTTCCACGAGTCCACAGGGCAGGTCATAGGAGGGCTGCATCTCCTGCCTTGGTTAGGGTTCACAAGCAACAAGGTCCAAGCCAAAGACAGTTACTCTGCTTTATGGCAATAAAGATCTTTGAGGGCCTTGAGTTCCTCAATCAGAGTCTTGTTTTGGTTTTCAAGCACAGCCACACGGTTTTCAAGACATCTGACATATTCCTTCTTCTTCCTGCGACACTCCCGGGCGGCTTCCCTGGAACCAACACAAGGCAGATGACTACAGGAACAACCTCTTATCATCCAGATTGGCTCAATAAACTGCCCCCAAATGCCACAGCCAAGCAATCCTACTTGGAGTGTGTTTGTACAAAACCACGCCACAAATGTAACCAAGCACATGCCTTGGTGGACGATTGCCCTCAGACAACCAGAACAACTTGAAAACACAGTAAATTCAGGGCATACGTTCCGTGATAACAATGACCACAATTATATCCAGGAAGCTACAACAACAGGACACAGCACCAAGTAGAATTTCTATAAAAATATTTATGGATCCTTTCCATTCTCTTGATTATTCGTACGTGCCAGAAGCCACGTATTCCATCACAATAGGTCAATTGTATTGGATCAAAAAACAATTGTAAGAATTCAGCCTCAGAAACCTTAAATGTCAACGGTGGATTTTTTTTTAAAAAAGACTTAAACCTCAACAAACAAGATCAATCACAACTGTAACAACAGTTTAATGAACACAACACAGGTCAGTTACAGCTTACAATAAATAAAGCATGCATACTTTTATAAACCAAAATGAAACGGATACTGCTTCTGAAAAAAAGTAAGGAAGGAGTTACATAATGCTCAATAATTCAGATAATTTCAGCCCATGAATATGAGAACATCATGATTAAAATTATGAAAAGGGAGCTGCTGAATAACTCAAACGTGTATTATTTCCAAGATTGTAACCACAGACATGCATTTATAACAAATATACTGAGCTTTCAAGCATTGTGAGCAGGCCCAGAGGGGAGAGCAGACCAACAGGCAAAGCAACAAAGCCAAGTAAACGGGAGCTGAGCATTCCCACGCAGCATCCCACCAAAACAGAGCCAGTATGCCAGGGTGGAGATGGAAGCTGCTTCCCTTAACTCCTCTAGAAAAGATACTCTCTGATAACATCTTCATTTTGGACTCTTGCCACAATAACTTCCCCTGGCGGTATATTGCTACTCTTCACAGCAAAAAGGAAAGAAGAAACCTATATTGCAACAGATATTATCTCTCAAGTATACTTTGACAAAAGTAGTGGAGGAGACCTGAAGACCAGCTCCTATACTGCCGGTGTATATGGCCGTAATCCTGCGCTAAGCGTGAGGGCAGTCGTTGCATTTTTAGGGTAGGTGACTCCAATACTATCTGGACATCCCAACAAAGCACAGAAGATCGACCCTTACTCCCCAGCCAAGAGTAATGCTCTCGCCCTAGGAGTCCTCTTAGTTCTGAGCTTCTCAACTGGTTAACAATTTGAAAAAGAAGAACTTGACAAGGTAGTGATTATTTTTTATCTTGATGGTGCATGGGGAAAGGGTAAGAATAAATTCATTCGTATTTGCTCATTTGTCAGTGTGGGAATATGATTCAGCTGTCTTCCACAGAACTAAAAATAATTTATGAATACCAAGGTTCTCATAGTCAAACATCATATAGATTAACTATCAGACCCAGAAGAAAAGTGGTCATTCTACAAAGCAAATCACCATTAAACAAAACGTTCGAATACCTAATGGCGGTGCTGTGAGGTATTTGTTTGCTCTAAGTATCACTACCTTATATTTTATAACTGTATGTGGTATATATTTGTATATTACCAGAGTCAAAATGGCCCAAGCACAAAGCTCTCAAATGTACCAGTGGCTGGTACATTCCAAAGTACTCAGCTATGGAAAACACCTGTTTCTTCTATTAATAGTTAGCTCTGTTTTCAAAGCCTTGCTCTTGTCTAGATACATTCATATTCTCAGCATTCAGAGGAAAGCATAGAGCAAACAGGAAACGCTGACAGGACTAGAAAGACAGGAAAATGGTTGCAGAGGGCATTTAAGCTAGTGGACACGATGCTGGGTAAGACACCTGCGTCCCACCATGAATTGTAGGGGTTCGCTGCCAAGCTCCTACTTCCAATTTCCTGATACAGCAAGGCCACAGGAGGCAGCAGAGATGTTCCTGTTATCCATGCGGAAGACCCAAGCTGAGCTCCATGATCCCGGCCTCCGTGGGCATCTGAGGAGTGAACCAGCATACGGGAGCTCTCTCTGTCTCCTGTCTCTTCTATAAGTGGGGCTGACATTGTGGCTGGCAGTAGATTAAGCTGCTGCCTGCAACACTTGATCCAGCTCCCTGCCGATGCGCGTGGGAAAGCAGCAGCAGATGAATTACATACTTGAGCCCCTGCCATCCATGTGGGAGTCTGAGATAAAGCTCCTGGTGTTGGCTTCACCAGTGTGTCACTGAGAAATTTCTCCTTTGAAATCAAATAATTTTTTTTTCAAGATGTTGCTGTATTGGTAGAAATATAATTAAATATCTATTGTAGATGCTGGAGAGGAAAGACCTAAGAGATCTCTGATGTGCGAAGCGTGAGATGATGGAAGCCTTCATCCTTTGCATGAGGGCACGCTTCCAGTTCACACGCAGGTCTTTCCCAGCTGCCCTGGTGTCAGTGTCAGTGTCCGGGCTCAGGATCACAGACTGCTCGGCTACCGATCCTGGTTCTGGCCAGACTGAGCTCTACCATCTTAAAGAGCTTCCTGCTGGCCTCGGGTGAGCCCACTTCCTCCCTGTATCCCCATGTGAAGCTGTGTGCACAGGAGAAATATAGCACCTTAAGACCCATGGGATCTGCCTGGTAGGCCTGGAAACTGCAGCCAGCTTAAGGACTGCTCAAGCCCATCCCAGTGTGAGAGACTGCACAAGCTGACTTGCTGCTTCAAACACATCCTCATAGGGACACAGGAGAGTGCTTAAACTCAGCCCCGAGTTTGAGGGGGCATGGGAGCAACAATTCATGCAGGTGGACACCTGAACAATCCATTGCCACATAAACTATCTGTCCTCTTATTAACACTTCTTCGTGAGGTCACGATCGGCTGGGCGGCTCTGAGCTCCATTCATTCTGAAATCACGTTCATTTGTCCCAATTTCTAAAGGAAAAACAATGCCCCTCCCCTAAATAACATGCCAGCTCAATAACATTCTGCTTAAGGAAAATGGCATTTTATGATACGCTGTCATTTCAAAAAATTTTCAAAGATACAGAGCAAGAATACATGAGAGAAGAAGGCAAACGTAGAAGTATGCGGAAGGGACTTCCTAAGTTGTGCAGCCTCAAGTGATCTGAATTCATTTTACTATATCTATACTTGCCAGATTTTCTCAGAGTCAACATGTATTTCACTATGCTGGGGGAAGTAAAGTTACATTGTAGATACAGGGAAACATGCAAAAACAAACAACAAAACCCTAACATTTTTATTGTTCATACAGAAGCTAAAAATTTATACCCATCACTTATTTTACAAGGTAACTTTTGAAGACTAAATTTTTTTTTTAAGAACATCTTCCCATTGTTATCTTCAAACATGAAATGAGTTCCCTTTGGTACATGACCCTTAAGACGTGCACACACGTGCCTGCTGCTGCTTGGCAGGGCTCACGGCCGGCCGGGGACGTGATCACTCTAGAAGGCAACACGGTCAGCTTGGGCAGATCACAAAACCACAGGGCACATCCCGCAAGAGCTCAGGCGAAGCATGGTGTGCTTTTCAAAGCCTCAGAGCCATGCGCTGTGTGCCAGTGCGTCCCGATTCCAGGTGACCCATCTTACCTGTTTTTCATAAGCCTCAGCTCTCGCTTCCTCGTGGCCTCTTCCGCTAGTTGCTGGGGACTGTGCAGCCCTCCCGGGGATGCGGCCATCACCACTCCCTGTGGCAAACCGGTCGTGGGGGCTCGGATCTGGTAGGTCGGAATGTCACCCGTGGCGGCTGCAAGGGAACAAAATATGACAGGCTTCTATAAGCAGTCCGCAAGTCGGTACTTCATACACTACAGACCTGGACATCACACACTTTTGACAACTCTTAATGCTTGAGATGTTTGTTGTGAGGATTCTAGGAATCTCCAAGTATCAGAGTTCTCCAGCATGGAAGACAGTGGAGCCAGTATTTCCACATGCTCTGCACATTTAAGATAGAAAAAGGCCTGATACATTTTAGACAATTTTCTTTCTTTTCTTTTTTCTTTCTTTCTTTCTTTCTTTCTTTCTTTCTTTCTTTCTTTCTTTCTTTCTTTCTTTCTTTCTTTCTTTCTTTCTTTCTTTCTTTCTTCCTTCCTTCCTTCCTTCCTTCCTTCCTTCCTTCCTTTCTTTCTCTCTCTCTCTCCTCTCTCTCTCTTTCTCTCTCTCTCTCTCTCTTTTAACCAAAGGCTATAGTTGACAGGCTTTTGACTGTGAGTTCAGTGACCCTCACATCCACAGTCTACTGCTGAGTAGTTCTGACTCGGCAGCCTGGTGGCTGAGGGCTGGGAGGGAGCCAGCCAGGGCTGGGAGACTCCCACAGGGCTAATGTCACACTGACTTCACTGAATGTAGAGTGGGAATGAAAGAAGCTGTGAGCAACACAACCCACAATATACAGATCTCGAAAACCTCCAGGGGCACAGGCACAGCAACTGGAAATGAGGAGTTAGCAGCGCCAATGTTACTTCTGATATAATGTATTTTACTGTGTGTGTCATTTATAACTCTTTAAAAATGGCTGTATTAACCAACTTAAAAAAAAAAAAAAGTTGTAAATTTAGCCATCAGCTCTAGCCAGGCAGTGGGAGCTGGCATTAACATGCCACCGCCAAAAAACAAAAACAAAAAACTTCAGGACATTCACATTCTGGGAAGGTCCCAGTGGAGGCCCTCCCTGCGCTGAGCTTCAGTTAGCCAGCAAGCCCAGCAGGCCAGGCCTGTGGCAACAAAGTGGCAGAGGCAGCGGGAGGAGCCCAGGTGGGACACTGCCATACAACGGCAGCGGCAGTGCCCTTCTGAAACTGGTTGCTCTGGGGAAAGCTAATTGTAGTCATTCTGAGGTTTCTCAAGATAATTGCATCTTTCTAAATATTCATTTAAAAAATCTTCTAACAGTATAGTCTTACAGCTACAAGGTAGATTTCATATTTACTTAGTATTCAGATTGAACCCTAAAGGCTGTCCGAGTTTTTTCCTGATTTATAAAAAACCAAACCAAACCAAAACAAAACAAAAAAAAAACACAAAAAAATCGTCTCACTCCTGTGATCCACATTGGCTTCTAGAAGTGACAGATGAGTCTGAGCCACCAATGCTTCAACTTTGAGAACATATGGCTCAGAGTTAATTTGACACTCCAATGAGACATTACAAAACACATGTTGTCTCAAAGTAAATGCAAGAAAGAGGTTTTAAAAGAGCTATTAAATCCTATAAAGATTAGTCTGAACCAAATGCCAGTCCAAAGAAGAAATGTGGTTCTTCCACATTTTAAGAATGTCTCATATAGCCCTTGAGGAATTTTATGCTTTCAACCTTCGAAATAATATCACTGAAAACAGCCCAGCAGTTTAGAAAAATCAAATGGAAATTAACTGGCTTAAGTGCTTCTGTTTGGGCAAATGCTGGTTGTTCTCCGTTGGGCTTGAGAACTAAATGAAAGAATCAAATTTAAAACATGACCTTGAGGGAAGATCACTTAGGGGTCTTTGCAGCAGAATTAACTTTTTACAAACCCATTTCTAGGGCTGTGCTGCTGCGTGTTCCTTCTGTGTGGACTTTTTCAACAAGGCTGAGGAACAGTGACAGGATCAGCAGCTGAGGTTCTATCAATCCCGGGCAAAGCCGTCACTTCGTGTTTGTGGCTTTTCACAGGGCTGTAGAGCCATGTGCCTCCTCCGATGTTGAAGACAACTTTCTGTACCTTGGAAGCATGGAAGCAGAAAGAATTCCACACTGTTTGTAGTGTCTTGGGGCAAGCCGGCCCAGCAAACGAGGCGGAGCCCAGTTCGTCCCCTCCTCTCCTGGCCCACATCCAGGGGGGACTGTGGGATCAAAGCTCCAACAATGGGGACAGCTGGAGGCTGCTTTCTAAAATCAGAACAATGGCCAGTGACGAAGGAGGAGCTGGCATATCACTGTGCTGGCATCTGCAGGCAGAGCCTGCTCCGTGATCCATCAGTTCTTTCCCAAATGCTGCTCGCCAGAAAGTGCAGTAGAAGGCTCAGAGGGGTACAGAGGGGGCTCCCCCTGTCCTCTGGTTTTGTGTCCACATTAGGAAGTTGGAGCAGAATGCTTCTACGTGATGTGCAAAACGAGGCTCTGGGTATCCAGTTTGGAAAAGGCTAAAAAAAAAGAGGGAGGTGGGAACATTTCCACCAATGAAAACTGAAGTTCACTCACTGGTTTTGGATGATCAGAATTGACTCAAAAGAACTTTGTGTCGAGAGCCAACAGTACCCTTCAAGGACCAGACTGGCAGTGTGGAAATCAGCAAGTGCTCAGAAAAAGTTATCACAGTAAAAAAGCTTGGACAGGGACAGTATTTCTAAATTGATTCATTACGAGATGTTGGATAACAAACTGAGTTTTCTCTTAATCGTTCAGGTATAACACATTCAGCTTAATCCTCACGTTAAAAAATAAAGGTTCTAACTCATCGTTTCATTCCAGAAATATGAATTAATATAAATCAGCAGAAAACACAGCATGAGTTTCTATAATGTCTATATACTTTTCACGGTCAATGGATAAATTCCAACTATAATCTTTTTAGCAAGTCCACTAAAAAGACAGGAGCAATCAGAATCTCTTGTTTTGAGGACATCTACAAGTCGAAAAGTTTTTTTTTTTTTTTCTTAAATGCATGATTTAAAAAGCTCTCCTCTTGGGTTGAGTTTGCATTATGATGGACTTGGAGGTGACTTGGAGCAAATCAGGTGCCAGAGATCACAGATCAAAGAAACACGTTTCTTCCTGTCTTCTTGAAAAGGCCAACTCCCGTCCCATCTAACTAGTAAAAGTGGGTGTTTGTTTGTTTGTTTTGGTCAAGTTTCACTCTTACATTCTGAAAATATATGGTCATCAAATGGGGGCTTAAAACTCATGACTAAGTGAAGAAGTGAAAAAAAAAAAAAAAGCCGTTTATCCACTAATGTGTGTCTGAGGCAAGCACAGGCTCCAAGATTCTCAGAGGCTCTCTCTCCATCACCTGGACCCCCTTCCCGCTTCCACCCCCAGCATCCAGCACAGGGCTCGGCAGGTCACAGGCACTTCCTGAGTTTATGGGTGTGCTATGAAGCATATTTTGAACTTCTTAGGGTTTTGCCCAAGCTGTCCGTCGGGATGGTTACGTTAACAGAACCAGGTCTTCGGCTGCAACGTGTGTGCATGTTCATTCCAAGTGTCCTTTCTGAACAAAAGGCATCGTCCCATGGTGCACTTCAGAGACATCTTCCTATGGCAACTTAGCAGTAGACAAGTTCTAATTAGAATCTGAAACAAATTACTTAGGTTTACTAAGCACTATGTCGTGGGAGAAGCAAATTCCTAGAAGGTTCAGGTCTGGTTAACGACTTCATACCTCTCTTGGCAAGCTTTAAACACGGCACAGCAGAAAGAGCATGGGGTTTGGAGTGTGGGTTCTAGTCCAGCTCTGCCACTTACCAGCCATGTGACTTGGGGCAAGTTCAGTTTCCTCATCTGTAAAATGGGGATACATCATCTCATTTGATACTCACAATAAACCCTGCAATGTATGTCAAAGTGCTAGCACAGTGCCTGGCCCATGGCAGGCAGGCAGCAAATGTCAGCTCCCTTCCTCTCCCCTTCTTTAAGCTCTGAGAGACAATGTCCCAGACCATGCTCACACCGTACAGACTGTTAGGAGGCAAAAACACCCACAGGAATGCAGTCCCCTGGGGCTTCCCTTCTAGCAAACCTAGGAACCCAAAGTATGTATACATATATATATCGGTGTTTACTCTTTATTGGTTAGAACTAAGCCTATTAAAAGCTTTACATGCTATCATATAGAGACTAAGGCATTAAAAGATGACAGAAAACATCCTCTATCCAAGTATACCAATCACTTAAAATGAAGCCTTGAAGGCAGAGCACCATGGATGACCAAGTGCTACAAGCTTGTCAGTTTGGTCTTAAGGAATCCCAGAAGTCGCAGCAGGGAGCAAACGATTATAAACTCCAGCTGAATGCCTTGCCCTAGAGCTTTCAAGGTGCCACACGCCATCAGCAGCCCCAAATGGCGGGGACTCCATGGTCTGATTAGCTTTGGTCTATGGAGATGCTATGTGGCATTGTGCATATTAACCGAATAAAAGCATCTCCAAGAGCTCCCGTCTCCCTAGATCACCTCAGTGAGATGGAGTGGGGCCACAGGGGGTGTCTGCTCAGCTCTGGCCCCTCTCCCCCCAGCCTGACAGCCACCTCCCCCACTTCCTTTCCTCCCACTCTGCTCCTGACACTCACACTGGGCCTGGCCAGGCTGTGTCGAACTCTGTTCTCTCTCCACTGCTCCACTTTCTCCAGGAAAGTTAAATCCTGTATAAAAATTTCTAAGCACTGAACATTTGTAAACTTGTTACTATAACACATAAACCACATAGAATTAAGTCATTAAGTATTTCTTTTCAGCTTTATTGAGGTACAATTGACAAAAATGGTTTATTTTCAAAATATACAATGTATTGCTTTATATATATGCATACACTGTGACGTGATTATTACCACCAGTCAGACTAAGCAAGTTATACATAAGGGATCTAAGTGAAAATCTTACGTTAAAAAAGGGTGAAGACTGAAATCAAAGGTTCTACATAGTGCTAAGTATATATTCCGACATCCTACAAGAGTAACAATAAATATTCCAGGAAAACAAATAACTCTCTTTTTTGCTTATTTAAATGATGCTAAATAATTTTTCACATTTTAAAAATTCCATTGCCGCTCATGTGACATCGGCACTGACAATATCGAGTCTGTTTTGGAGCAGCAATGTAGCATGTGTGAACGGAGGCAGAGGAGCAGTCTGAAGTCACAGCCTTTGTAAGCTGGGAAGCTGGGCAGAGTCACTTTTCCCACTGGGTTTGGAGTTCGGTCAGCCTGATGGTGTCAGCCCTAGGTAACGGCCCTCTCTCCTATGTGGTCCAGTGGTTACCAGAGAGGACAAGAGGACACAGCGGATGGGAGGTTCCGGAACAGGCACCAGAACAGGCCAAGGGATGGGTGCGAGGGCTGCACAGCACACAGATGTGTTAGGTTCTGTACAAAGAGCCAGGAGACGGGAGTTGGAGGCTGCCCGACACAAAGACCAGCTCCTGATTGGATCAGTTTGCAATGCATACCTGGACCCCCGAAAACGTCTGAGTAATGTGTGCCTATGAGAAATGCTTTTGGTGAGACTAGTGCCTGCCCTGCGTGTGTCAGGAGGAGTGTGTGTGGGATGCCCCTCCCCACGCTGCACTTGGATGTGGTGTCCCCGGGGAGACATCTGCCAAGTCCCTGACAGCTTCTTCCACAGCACGTTCCGTGACCTGAACTAACGTGCATTTCACATTACCTGATTTGGTGGGTGCGGCGCGGGAGTGAACACAAATGTGATATTATCACAATTATTTGAAGTAAATATCTCAAATTGTATTGCATTAACATTTTTTCCAAAAATAGTAACAGGACAACAACCATTCATCAAACCATTCTTTCACACATAAATTTCTAAATAAAATATTGTCAAAATCCTCCTTGTTCACATGCAGCAAACATTTAGACACTATTTACCACATTTGAATAGTTGGAAAGTCTGTTTTGGTTTTTTTTACAATTCAGAAATCTATCCTGAATACAATTGACTAAGATTCAGAGACCAAAAAAAGATACAAAATCAAACAAACTTCTAACATAATCAATTCATGAAACAAAAACTGCATTTCTAGTAAAAATTTAAATAATATAATATAATCCCATACATACAGTCACTTTTATAGTTAATTCCATGGTCCTACAGTAAATGTTCCCCCAGATCTCTTCCACACTAACGATTCCTGTCTCTCCTTCTCTCAGTAAATCTGCTCTTCCAATATACATATTTAGAAGAAGTCTGATTTGGGATTAAAACAGAGTTTTCCAAACTAAGTTGCAGATCATTAGTGGAATCAAAACTCAGATTTCACCAATTTTAAAAAGACAGGAGGATGGCAACATTCCAGACACGGTAAGGAAAGCATTACACCTGACAGCGGTTTCACATTTACATACTCAGAGGTTGAGGGCGTCTCAAACAAAACCTGAGTCAGGGCCCAGGGGACAAGGGGTTGAGAATCCAAAGGCGGGCTCGGAAGGCTGCTCTACACCTTCAAGAACATTCCTTCAACCCTGTGCTATTTTGGCTCTTAACAAAAAAAAGGGGAAGGAGTGATAAAACTTGTGCTTCCTTTTCAAATAGCACCGACTATGAGAACTGAGCAGGCTCTTGAACAGAACGATTTCCAAACGCACAAACAAGGTCTTAGGAAAACTAGTGGTCTGTTATTGTCTATCAGTTTTGAACTTTAGCAGTTACAGAAAAGGAAAATCTTGCAAATGTAGTATTCGGAAGAAGAATTATGAAAAAAAAAAAAAAGAGGAAGAAGCACAGATCTTTAAGACAACTTTAAACATCACTGGATGCAGGTTGTATTTGCTCAGGACCCCTGAAAGCTCCGGCTCGGCAAGACCCTGAAGAACTGAAGGATGATCAAACTGGGTCAGAATCCAAACCCAGTACCAGGTTCCCAATCGGGCCAACTGTGTAAACAACTGTGCAATTGCACAGAGGTCACCGGGGCTGAGTCTTTCACAATCAGTATCTGTTAACTCAGAAAAATAAAACTCCCCTAGAGAAACGCGGATTACAGATCGAAACGCCGAAGCCCAAGAAACAACGCATAAGAGCAGCTCTTCCCAGGCTGCGCCTTGGAGGGCACACCGAGGCACAGTCCTAACAGGGTCCGACCGCCCACCGGGAGGCACGCCTGACCCGGTGCGCCTGCCAGGCGGCGGCCCACTACTGTCCTCCGGGGCTTGTGGAGTTCCCTCCACGTGCCCCTCCTTCCAGCAGATACTGCCTTCCATTGAAATGCTGCAGAGAAAGGCTTACAAGAGAAGCTATTCAGAGTAAGGGCCATCTCGGAGACCAGAAGCAGTGGTGAACTAGTTAACAACTCAAAGCTCTCCGCAGCGCTGGACAGAAAGGAACTGACTAAATCACAACGTGACTCGGGGGTTGACGTCAACCGTGCAGCTAGCTCGAAGTTTAACTTGTCCACTTCCCTGCTGAAACATGATTCCAGGAAATGTAATGACGTCAGCCCTTTGAACTCAATTGGCTGAGGAACAGACCATTTTAAACGCAGGAGGAGAAAACGAGTAAGCAGGCACATAAACATCCCAGCACTCTGCTTCTCACTCGGTCTGGAGCTCCGCTCGTTCACGGCAATGAAACCGGGAGCTCGTTTAAACTGTTTTCAACAACGCGAAGAGTATTTCTGTTCAATTTGTAGTTAAGGGAGAGTTTGCAACAGGTTGCAGATGAAATAATCCCTTATCTGCTTATTTTAATAAGGCAGGATGGTCTGCAGGAGGCAGGCGGGCAGAGGGGGGAGGGTGGGAGAGGAAGCGAGGGAGGGGAGAGCGAAAGCGCGAGCGAGAAAGGCAGCCGGAGGGAAAGGGAGACTGCTCGCTGTTTTGGTTAAGAAAGCAAATAATCTCAAGCAAAGATGCGATTACACTAACGAAGTGAACTGAATATGCAGGCACCAATTAAAAAAAAGAAACGCTTACTCCTGAGAAATGAACCCTTTCGAAACGCGGAGCTAGTTCAAACTACTTTTTCTAAAGTTCAAAGAAAGCTCGGCAGAGGTCCCGGAAGCCCCTCTCCAGGACGGCTTACCTGTCTCATCTCCAGTGACAGCCATAATGGCCTTCTGCATGCAGAGCCGTCCGTCTCCCCGTCTCCCCTCTCGCAGGGAAACAGAGTCCAACACGAGCAAGCATGTGCGGGATGAGGAGGAGTACTGACATCACAATGACGTCACGAGCCTATCACTGCCATCAATTTGCTTTGTCACAGGCAAGTTCTCCGAAACCACAGCCCTATAAAAACCCTTCCTGTAATAAATCATCTTAATGTTTTTGTTTCTCCCTTTTACATAAAAACCTCTTAGAGACAGGCTTTGGTAAAAAACAAAAATGCCCCCTTTAGCATTAAATGTTATGTGGCTCTGCCTGTAAGGGGCTTGGGGCTTTTATGTCCACAGTTTCTGGGTGGACACTGGGGGAATAAGCCCTCTTATACATTTTTTCATAACTCTGAGGAGAGTTAAGAAAATACATAGGTTTGATCTTTGAGGACTAAAAAAAACAAAAGCACATTGGCAATCAGCACAAAAATACTGCATTTGGTAAACAGACATTTCAATATTCACCCACATCTGTTCACATAACACATTTCTATTTGCTGAGCCATTTGCTCAAAGTCATAAAGCTCAGCTGTTCCTAAGGTGACAGAATTTACCAATTTCACCTGATGGGAGTCGCCAGTGAAACAGTCAAAATCCCCTGCCGATGTAGCTAGCATTCCATCGCAGTGTACTTGCTGACTGTTGACAGTCTGGGCTCGCTAAAAGTAGCAATTACAGATGATTCAATCTAACACATTATCTTACCAGATTAAAGCTCTTCGAAAAAGTTCTGTGACTTCTTTTTAACTTCATGCATAAGTCACAATTGCTATTCGTAATTTTTAAAACCACATTTCGTTTGTGTCATTCAGTGAAGGTTCAGCACATGAAGAGCTGGGTCATGACGGAAAACTGAACAAAAGCCAAGTTAGACACGAGTCGCTGTGCGAGGGCCACAGCCTGGGGTGGGGAGGTGAACATCTCTATGGCACAAAAATTCGCTATATGTCGCTGCCGGGCTGCTGAATTGCCTACTGCTTCTGCAAAGTTCTAATACATTCCCTGGACTAGTCAGATTCAATCAGGACCCAGAGCCAGTGCAGCTTACCTTCATTCACAGATGCTTATTCAACAACGATGTTATGTTAGGGACCGGACTAGGTACTAAAAAAATCCCTGTCCAGTTAGAACTTAACCCAAAGACAGTCCCAGAAGAGCAGTTCTCTGCCCTGGGAAGGTGCAGAAAGAACTTACAAAAGGCTGTTGAAGTCAGGGAAGGCTTCCTGGAGGAAGCACCATTTGAAGCCAAACTCGCAGGGAGAGTGTTCTCCTGTGGACAGGAGGTGGGCACAAGGGCGCCTTTTAGAGAAAGGCAAGGAAAAAAAAAAAAACAGAGCTGCAATACAGAGGGATTGGGAGAGCAGGAGGAGGTGAGGACCGGAAGCAAAGCCGAGATCAAGCCAGGACTGGAATTCTGGCCTTTGCCTACTAGCTTCCTAGGAGGAGGACTTGAGGAAGTAGTGAGCCTGGAGGGTGCGGCCCTCTGGTACCGGATCAGTGCTCTTTGAAACAGAAGGCTCCCCTGCCCTCTCTGGCATACGGGAAACAAGTAAAGGCGGTCATCCATGCATCAGGAAGCAGAGCCTCTCGGGCACTGACCTGCTGGACTTGGGTCTGCTGTGACCATTACCCAATTCAGGGTGCTTCCGGACACAGCCTGCCCTGCCAATCCATGTGGGGGAGGATAGCACTGACGATGGGGTGGGGAAGAGTCAAGATACACATGGCTTAGCTAGAGGGCACAGTCTATGTGGCTTTGAAAGCAGAGGAGACAGAGTAAGGGCTGGCACCAAGTTTGACTTAGAGCAGCAAGAGGAACAGCATCCCAATCTGAGACAGAGAAAACACAAGCTTTGGAGTGGGAAACACTGGCGGTCACAACTGAGAGCATCTACATTGACAGGGTGGGGGCGCCAGGGCATGAGGCCCAAGACACAAGCCTGAGGACAGTGCCAACACTTGGGAAGTGGGCAGGAGGAGATAAGCCCAGTAAAGGAGCGAGAGGCAGGAAAGAAAAGATACAACAATGGGAAGGCAGTGTTATCAGAGAAGGGAGGAAGCACGGCCCAGCAAGGATATAAACAGGGGACTGAGAACTCAGAAAGGAGTTCCTAACCAGGCCTTTCTAGGAGGCTACTGACTGGAGGCTGGCGAGGGAATGCTATCCAGAAAGCTCAGAAGACACGACAAGAAGGCCATGACCTTGCTGGCTCTCACGCAGAGCCAGGACTCCTGACTGCTACTAGTTGGAAAGAAGAAAACAGGAAGGGAGAAAGGGGGAAATGTGGAAGAAGGACAGGAAGAGATGAAATATAAAAATGTATATGTACTGTAAAATACATAATGTTGCAGATTAATTCATAATCAGCATATTCTTTTTTTTTTAAGTGTGGAAGAAACATACAAGCAAACATTTATTATAATATCCGTAGGGGCTCACACTGTGATATAGTGGGTAAGCCACTACTTTATTCCATATAACATTCTCTGTTTCTGTAATCAGCATATTCTAAGAAGTAGTTTAGCAAGGTTAGCTGGAAGGTCAGCTTAGATAAAATACTAGAGATAAAAACTGAGATAAAATACTGAGATAAAATGCTAGGAAAAAAAAGCACCATTCAGAATAGTAGCAAAAACCATAATGCATTTAGCAACTCAACTATAAAACAGTATGCAAGTTTCCCACGGAGAAATATTTAAACTGCTAACAGTAGTAGAATCAGCTCAAAATACAAGAGACATGTGATGGTTTGGGATGGGTCAACTTAATAACATTACAAAGATTTCAGCTCTCAATAAATCAAGTTATAAATCAAATGGAATCTTGTTTTTGGTTTTCTTCTGCTGCTTCCTCTGCTTTGCTACTACTACTGAAAAGATCAGATGGGTTCCAAATGTGTACAACTAAATGAGTACTACAAACTAGACAAAATAGACCAAGAAGGCGGACCTTGTTCTGTGAGACTCAGTGTGGGGTTGATGCATAGGAAAAGCAGCACAGCACAACAGGGAGTCCTGACACGGACCCTACCACGTGATCTAACGTTGCTCCGTCATTAACGAGGAGAGGATCAACTACAGGCAAGGGTTTCACACGTGTACAGGAAATTAAAAATGGACCCCAACCTGGTATCAGCTATAGAGGTGCATCCCAGATGGACCGGGGGTCTCACGTGAAAGGTCCACCTGGAATAACAGAAGGGAATGCCTGAAGACACTTGGGGGACTTCTGGAAGAAAAAGCGCTCTTCAACAAGCTCTCAAATCTCAGACCTTGTGTATCATATAACACTTACATTCAAAAAACTCTGTTAAAGCATCACATTTGCAACACAATTCTCCACGTTTAAATATATATATATATACATATCAAGAAAATTGCTATTCTTTAAGATTATTCGTTTAGACACATAGGAATGGTGAAAATACATCTTACATTTAAAAGAAAACATCAAATATTGAGTGAGTACTACAAATTTTTACTTCACAAGCACCATCACTTCTGTTCTTCATAAACTTTTCTTGTAGTTAGCATTAAACCCTCAGAATACACAGGAGTAAAGCTAATTATCAAGAGATTCATCAAGAATTTGCACTTGATCTTAGCCAAAAGGCCGAGGAGAGATTCAAAACAAAACCTGCTGCTGCTTTCCTCAAGTAGATGGAAAAACAGAAACAGACTTTAATTAAAACTCATGGTCTTTGAAAGCTGCAGTAAATACATCTATTAGAGTTATTATAGGGACAACTGGATAAAATTAACTAAAACTTAATTGAAATCTTAAGAAAGCTTTCAGGGCTACATTCCAACTGCACATTTCTCTACTGTTAGCTCCTGTTAGAGCTACAACAAATGTAATCTACAAACAGCCCAAAAATAAGCATTGTTTTGAAATGAGTTTTAAGTAGAGTTTAATAGCTGTGGGGAGAAACCCCAAATTCAAGGTATCAATGACTGAATACTTAAATTCCCACATAAAACAGACATATTATGGCAACATTTGTAACCCAAAATGAAGGATATTTACGTAATTTAAATTTTTAACTCATGGTTTCAACTTCCCTTTTTTAATAGAAGGTGACAATCGGGGGCTGGGGTTAGGCCTTGTGGTCAAGATGGCTGCTTCCCACAGCAGAGAGCCTGCCCGGCCTCCGTGGACTCCACCTCCCTGCCAGTGCAAGCCCAGGAAGCCATAGGAGGCGACTCAGAAAATTCTGTCCTTTCCATCCACATGGGAGACCTAAACTGAACTCCTTACTCTTTGGCCTGGGACCACTGCAGGCTCCTGGGGATGAACCAGCAGATAAAGTTCTCTCTCTTTCTCTCTCTCTCTCTTGCTCTCTCTCTCTCTCACACACACACTTTCTCTCACCTACCCACCCAAAAAAGTAAAAACAACTTATTTAACTTGATTTAACATTTTAAAATATTTCTTAAAGCCTTATCATTTACCCCACTCCCTCCACTCCCACTAAAAATCTACTTCCTGTATATTTAAGAAAATTATAAAATCATCACTACATGGTGCAAGATAGTAATCCATAGGCATTCTAAATGTATGAGAGTAATAAAATATACCTTGAACAACAACCTGGCTGCCTGGGACAAAGAACTGCTGTGTGCCATCGGCTGATTGTGCTGCATACTGTACAATTGTAGCACCTGGTGGAGGAGCTCCTGAATTTGTCATTGTTAATGCCTGTAGTCCCTGAACACCATCAGTTCCTGGGTTAGAAATCTGGATTGCTCCACCTTGGGCTATAGCAACTTAACAGAAAAAGAAAAGAAATATTAGAGAATTTCAGTATTAATCCCACATTGGAGGAATATACTCTGGGTCTACTTATCACCACTTGCTTCTCACTCTACACTGAACGGACAAGGGACACCAGTTTCTGTGTGGGACAACACCCTGACATAGCAATACTTGGGGTACTTTACAACCAGAGTTTTTGCAACTCCATAGATACCACAGAGTATTCCTTGTTCCTGATATCCAGCACATTGAATTATTTAAGAAGAGAATGGAGAAGCAAGCAGAGAAGGGGGCCCTACTTCTTTCTCCATTCTCTCAGAAATATAAAATGCTAAGCTGGAATAGATCTTGAAAGGTAACTCGGTGGAAAAATTTTGTTATACAATATTTACCTCTACGAAGGGTTTTTAAATAATCGTAGCAAATAGTAACAAAGATGGAGAGCCTTCTCCCCAGTGCTAGAAATTGCCAGTCGTGTCACTGAATTAATATATTAGAGTTTCCAAAGAATAACTGAACAAGTGTTTTGTTTTAAATTTTCACTCTCATAGGCAATTAAGTACTGCTTAACATATCTCAAAGGTCTGTATATCATAGAGAGAACAACTGAGGGTTTTAAACAGTAAAGTCTGCAGAACTGATCTCTCCTTAAAAAAGAAAAAAATTAAACATAAACTAGTTACTTTTACAATAAAGATTCAAGAACCACATGGGCACAGTAACTCAGAGAAGTCATAGATATGTCTTACTAGAACACTCAATGCTTAAAACATTTCCAAGTCTTTCTCAAACATCTCCAAGGACGGCTAAGCCGAGACGCAGCTGGATAAGTGATCTGATAGTTAAAGCTTTCAGAACAATGGAAAGAGAGACAATAGATTGTCAGGGCTCTGACATAAGGTTTCACAGTTTCATCTGTCTTGCCTGGACCATTAGTGAATGGTCCATCTAAAAACAGGATGCTTTTACACCACAAACTCTCCAAAGATGGCCAGGGTTTCGGCAGCATCCAGTTCTCACAGTAAGAAAAGGGTTTGGGAGCAATCCATGTAATTTCTTGAGGGAAGTATGAAAAAGGCAAGAGATTTTTGCATCTTCATGTCTCATGTGAACGAATCTTACGAGCTGCCTTGTATCTGCAGGTGCATTTTGGATTGATACTAGTTGGAGTTCACAGACTCCGTGGTGTAGAAGGAAGAGCCAAGGACAGCACGAGGACCGTGAGTCACACACACACAGCCAGCACCAAGCAGGCTTTGCAGACAGATCCAGGAATGATGACATGTGCTCAAAGACAGACCACATCACAAACACGGAGTCCAGAAGGTCTCCAACTGCAATGACAGGCCTCAGCTATTTGGTCAACACTAACACAATTCCCCAACTCTGGACTTGTTAGGCTGAGGTGAAAGAAGCTGCCACAAAGGGCAAGAGGCACAAAGCAGGCGCCTACCAACTGACCTCTCTTCTCGCTCTCTCTCTCTCTTTTTCCTTGTTTCCCCTTTTCAAAAATATTTTCCCCAAATTCGAACCGAATTTTTTTTCTTTCATACTATGAAAAGCTGGCTTATCAAGGATCCATTTCTCCTGTCATGACACAACCAGATCTGGAAAACGAAAACTGAACACGTGTGTGCATGCACACATGTACAAGCTGGCTTTGGGAGAAAATGCATCTAAGTGCAGTTTTGTCTTTTGGCCAACCTTCGATCCTCTTTGGCAAAGGTCTCCCGATCTGGACGTCAGATGGCAGAGGACCTTCCCGTTGACAAGGCCCTCTGTGGTTTGAATATACTAAGACTGCCCAGTGCTTTCAGGGTCCTTTGGGCCGATGCATATTTGAGAAAAAAAAAAAAACTTCCTAAAGTTTCCGAATATTCAGAAATCACACAACATGTGTTTCAATAAACATAAGTTAAGTACTAGGGGAAAAACAAGATGGAAATAAAATGAATCCAAATATATCCTCTCAGAATTGTGAAAAAGTTAGGGAAATTTTCCAGTAAACATAAAAGCAGATAATCTTTTTATCACACATTCCTGCTGCCCAGTCATCCTTTTCCTCCTGCACTCCCTGCTCCCCACTCCCCCAGATGTCAGGTGTCTGTTGAGACAAGTCCCAGAGCATCGGTTTAAAATAAAGCCACTGGTCCACATCAAGGCCATTAGGGATCAAAGAAAATGAGAAACCTTTGTATTTCCCACCAGTGTTACTCTGGTTTGTATTCATGCTTTCCTGGCCTGACCAAGCAGCTGAGATAGGTAGAGGCTTATGCCTTTTGTTGCTGACAATGAGGCGTCTACAATGCTAAGACTCGAACTGAAGCGTCTTTTAACTTAGATTATCTGTGTACTTCACTTTATTTTCCTATATTGACCCTTAATCACAAGACAAATAAGACAGTCTCATAAAGTAATACGAACAGAATTGAAATTGAGCAGCTAGTTTAGGCAATCAGTTAAAGCTCAGTTCAATGTCCATGATTCTTCAAACTTGCTACGATGCTCATGCTCTCTGCTCTCGTAGAATTTAACCTAAAAGCTGTCCAACTAAACTGTTTGCTTGTTTGTTGAAGTCTAAGATTGGCCATATCCCATAATTAAGCATGTGATTTAACACTTATGGGAGGCATAGTAGACACAATGACCTTAAACCAGCAGAGTCCGTTCAGAGTATAAGCCATTGTTCACTCAAATGTGTTTTCCTCACCTGCCAATGTAACATGCTAACCAGCATGGCATTGCATTAACTAGTCCAGGCTATAAATTCTAAAACAATTCTAGGACCTAAAACTCTGCTTAGAAATCTGTTATTTGCAGAACTCACTGCCACTGAACACTTCTCCCCAGTAGCTGTATCGTTCAAGTAAGGGGAATGTTACTTAAAAGATGAAAATTCAAGCATTTTGGTAAAACAAATTTGAACAAAAAAAATGTGTATTTTAAAATTCTGCATTATCAACAAAGATGACAAAAAAGATGAGCTTCAAAGGGCAGAGTACTGAAAAAAGAATCCATGATTAAACGACAAAGTGTGATTTAGTTAAAATTTCCTCTAAGGTTTTTTTTTTTTTTCACTTGATTACATATTGTCATTCTTTTTTAAAACAATGTATTTATTTGAAAGGTAGGGCAACACAGAGAGAAAGAGGTGGGTAGATTTCCATCCACATGATCGCTCCCCAGATGGCTGCAACAGCCAGGTCTTGCCAGGTGAAGCTCGGAGCCAGGGCCCTGTCTTCCAGGTGGGTAGCAGGGCCCAGGCACTTGGCCATTTCCTGCTGTTTCCCCAGACACGTTAGAGCAGGAAGCAGCACTGGAAGCTGAGTAGCTGGGACTTAAACCAGCACCGCCAGAGTGCTTGGGTCCCTTGCTGCGCGTGTAAGAGACCCAGAAGACATTTTAGGCTCCTGGCTTTTAGCCCTGCAATTATCAGCAGGGTTAACCAGCAGATGAAAGTTCTTTCTCTCTGTATCTCCCTCTCTCTGGAACTCTGCCTTTCAAATAAACAAATGAATAAGTAAATAAAGTTATATATGGGAAAATTGAGTATCTAGAACTTTAATTTAGCTTCTTATTTGCTTTCACATCAGCTAAACACATTATTCTAAATTAAAATAAAATACCAATGTTTGTAAAAAGAAAACAAAAAGCTAAGACTGGGGGAAAGATACCCATAGATAAAAGTTAGGGAAATAAACCTAAACAATTTTTAAAAAAATGTTATTGAAGGGTCTCAAAAAACCCCACAGACAATACATAGAAGTTCTAGTATAAAACAAACTCCTTCTAAAGAGAAAATTATATCGGAAATTTTTCTACTTCTAGATGTTTAGCTATTAAATTTTATTATTATTCCTAGTAAGAAACATGACTTAGGGCTGTTTGGCCCTTTTGTTTGTTTTGTTTTGTTTTACCTAGAGCCTACACAGAACCACCACGGCGTCTCAATCTCCTAGGATCATCCCTCACTCCCCAATGGAGACACCTGTGAGAAACAACCCTTAACCTCTTAGGTGGCAAGGCTAAACACCTGCTTTCCAGACCTGCATTTTCCAGTTGTCCACCACCATGCCCACCCCTCCTCTCCCCGCACACCCTGTCCACACAGAGTGAATGGACTCTCATGCTCCACCAGGGGTAAGGACATCACAGGGGTCCCGAGAGGCAGGCTGAATGAGAAGAAACAAGACTATGCCACATCTAACGTGCACGTCTGTCTCCTGTCAATAGCAGCATGGCTTTTTCTCCTACTTTCTCCCATTTTTTTCTTTTGGTCCTCACACTGACCTCTGAACTTGGTTGCTGGCTATCCTTCCTACTTCAAGGACTGAAAGCAAACACTGGAAAGGAAAGCTCTCGGCTCTGGTTACTGAACCAACCGTGACAGGAGCAGGTCCCCCTTCCCCAACGCTGTCTCTGCTTTGACATTCTCTCAGTGTCCTACACTTTCATAAATATTTCAAATTTCTGCTGTTAACAGTCCAGGTATATCAACCTCCAGCACCTACATCCTCTTTCTCTCTGTCAGAATTCCTGAGCAGCACTGAGGAATACCAAGGAGGTAAGAAGACAGCACCTGAGATGGGCCTCAAGCTGGAAGAAGGCTTAGCATGATTTCAGGGGGAACTGCCACATTCATGATACACAGGGAAAACAAGAACCTTCTATGTGGACACTGCTGGGGTAAAAGAAGGAAGCTTCTCCAGTCCAGTGCTGGTAGCTGGAAACCTCTTGAACACAGCCTGTGCATTTGGGGAACGAGGTGGCGGGCACTCAGCACCACAGTGACTGGTGTGGTGCAGTGCAGAGCCACGGCAGCCAGCAAAATCAGGTGTTCGTTCCAACATCCTACCATATATGTCCAGTGGGCCAGACAACAGCATGTGAACAAGAGAATGAGAGAGAAATCAACGTAAAGCTCCAAGGTCCAGTTCTTAAAGAGAGTAAAGTATTCTTTTCTCTCATTCTGGACATGTCCACTCAGCGTCCAGAAAAGGCTGGGAATGAGTTACACCCAATTCTAACAGGTGCCATGGGAGGGGCTACTCAGAATGACAAAGCAGAATTAGCTTGAGTAGATTGCAAACCTACCCCTGCTACAAGACAATCTCTACAACAAACTCTAAGAATACATATTAAATTCTACATTTAACGCATAGATCTTCCTACATCTTAAAACTAATAGCTTGTTTTAATAGCCTCAACACTGTATTTGGACAAACACAGTACTGAATATTATATACACTGTAACACCTAAGTAACTTTATTTCCTTGTCCTTTTTCTCCTTTTTATCTTTCTAGCCAGCTTTGTTTTTACTGTTTTTATGTTTCAAATATTCTTAACATGAAAAAAGAACTAGTGCTCTAATCAGAGCAAAAAGTATAGAATTAATATTCCAGTAAGATGCACAAGACTAAATGTGAATATATTTGTTTATTTAGAGCATTCAGTGTGTAAAATTTCAAATAAAATGATCTATTTAACTGCTAGCTTTAATTCTTTTCCATTCTCAGCCAGGAAAAACTGCAGCATAAATTAACACAGTAGGGAATAGTGAAATCAATTACATTTAAGACATAATTTAGAAAACAGAGGTATCTTTGAGATTAGTTAGTATAATCTAAGTAATTGCTGGCAGCAAAATCCAGCAAGACATTTATGTTTGCATGCATTGTAAAGACAACACAAAACAGTGAGTTTTAAACTTTTCTCAGAAATGGATATAAACATACGAATAGGAAAGATACACCCTTTATTTTTACTCCATATTTTTTGTACTCAAGCAATTAAAAAACTTTACTTTTCAAAAATATATGACAGCTGTCAGTACAGATCTTTCAATTTGTTAACATACACTTTTCATTTGCTAACAGTTCAGATAGTGATAAAAAAGGAATGACACCATGTCATCTCCTGAGCTGTGCACGTCACTGGACTGGACTGGGGGCTAGGACTGCACCAGAGTCACTGCAGCACAGAATGCCAGCAAAGACACAGCACTAGCACTGTGCCACAGTGAGCTACAGCGTGAGCACCTCTAGAGGGACGAGAGCTAACACTGTGTCATAAGGAACTACAGCACAGGGTGTCACTAGAAAAGAATGATGTCAGCAGAGAGGACTAAGAGCTAGCACTGTGCCACAGGGAGCTGCAGTATGTGATGTCACCAGAGAGGACTTAGAACTAGCACTGGACCATAATGGACTACGGCATAAATGGCACTCGAGGGGCCTGGAAGCCAGCACTGAGTCACAGGGAAATGCGACATGGAATGCCACTAGAGGAGGCTCAGAAATAGCACTGTATCACAGGAAGCTGTACTATACAGTGTCACTGAGTAGGAGTCAGAACTAGCACTGGACCATGTTGAACTACAGGATACACGGTACTAGTCTGTCTCAGAGAACTGTGGCCCATGTCAACAGGGGACTGAGAGCCAGCAGGTGGCGTAGGGCCCTGTGGCCCACAGTGGCACAGGACCAAGCACTAGCATGTGGCCTAGGATATTGTGGCACCTGATGTCACTAGAGGGGACTGAGAACTAACAGTGTGTCATAGGGAACTGCAGCATACATACTGTATTGCCCCGTGCTAGTCTGATATATGCTAGTCGGCACAGCCATGGTAGCGATGTTAGGCGGCGTTCCTTCTCCCTCTGATTTTTCTTCTTCAATCGTGGGAATAGCAGGCACATCAGAGGAAAGTTCATTCAGTATTTTTCTAAAACATAGTGTAACAACATAATAAGTAAAATGCATGGATGAGACTTAAGAAATCTATCAAAGAATAACGGCTTCGATGTGTACTTATTCTATCATTTGTGGGAAAGTATCATTTCAGCAACAAATTGAGTTAACTCACCTATAAGAGGGTCTTCGTGAAAGAATTTCTCTACGTTTATGAGAATCAATTATGCCTTCCGGTTCTGTAGACTCATCTGTCTCTGCAATTGTTGCTACCTATAATACAAGATTTTCTGAAATGCATCATAAAATAAAATATATATAATTGTCTCCCTCACTCAAAAAGTGATGGTTGGAGAACTCTGTGGAGAGCACAGAGCAACAGGACACAGTGGGTCTGTGCTGGAAAGAGTCCCCCGAGGCTCAGGAAGGGAGACACCAACACAGGCATGTTATCTGTCAAACACGTACATGAGCTCCAGTGGGCCGGAGAACAAATCCCAGCAGTGCCAGGACATCAGGAGACAATGCACACAATTCCTAAACCCCAAAGTGCCCTTGTAAATGCAGCAGGAAGTGCTCAAGGCAGAAAAACACAACTCAGTTTCTCCGTTCTCTTCATAATAATAACACTATCCTGAACCTGGTCTTCAGCTTAGGTTCTAGACCCCCACCACACTGAAGGAGCTAAGTTAGGAATTACCAAACAAGCAGCAAGTGAGGGCTTGACAGAACTTCTCCTTCAAAGGAGGTAAGTTTTTGGTATGATTTTATTTTCCATGTCAAGTGCTGATGCAATCATTCGAGCATCTTAAAAAGAAAACTATAGGAATGAATCTCTACGAAACACACCTGCCATTAGTAGTCCTGCTCATTCTACTCTGAGGGCCTGGGGTGGCTGAGTTTACAATGGTCACTTTTATTCACATTATAATTATGTGAGAATGGGATTTGTAAAATGGGAAGATTATCAAAAGTACAAGCAAGAAAATGTAATTCCCAAAGCACCTGGATGGGGTTCTGTGCCCCTCTTAGTGTAATGGCCATATAGCTCTCATCACAGACACCCCACATGGAAGCACACGGAAATTACCGAGAACACCCTGGTTGCATTAGACAGTCACGAGCCCTCACCCTGACACACATCTGTCATATATAATCATAAGCATTACACGAGGCAGGCTGTCATCTCACCCATCTCAGAAAGGTGGAAGCTGAGAACGTCATTTACTCGTTCAATAGTTAGGAAATCTAGGTCGAGATTCCTTAAATGTGTGTCTCTGCAAAAGCAATCAAATCATTTGTATGCTAAAAGTAAGACTTTTTAAGAAATGTCAGAATGTGAGACTCTTCTAAAAACCAGACAGGTTCAAAGTAGAGACAGAGATAACTACTTCTCAATAAAAGTCACACGACCAAAAAGAGATTAGGAAGACTTCCTTGTTTCATAATTTTAGTCAAAGAGAAGTTCTTGGAATCAAGGATCAGCCCAGAAAACAAAATAATGAGAGCTATTCCTACACCTTTGAGCAACACAGGAGAAGACAGCTGTGTTGAGAACACGACCAAGCTCTCACAACATGTGGGCTGGCCACCCGCAACACCGTGCTGCAGCCCGCGGTTTGGGCTGGGATCAAATATGACACACGGGAAAGGGACAACATGAAGCATAAGCACCTGAAGGAATAATAAAAAAAAGGGGGGGTGTCTAGGGAGGGGCTGGGAAAATCCTAGAGCCCATGAAACTGTCATAACATGAAATTTTTCAAAAAAGAAAGAAAAGAAACATAAGCACCTCCGTTTACCTCACAGATTTTTCCAAGTGGGTTCAAGCGATTTCATTGGTTTAAGAGTAATTAACCCCAAGACAGAGGGAAAAAGTGAATTTAATAAGTAAGAAAAGTATGTTTTTAACGTGCATACTTAAAAACTTATAACACTTGATGAAAAAAAGAAGCGTGAAGGATTTAAGACTATCCTCAATAATCCTAACTAATAACATACAGTTACAGGTCCCAAGTCCAATACTCACAAAAGCCAAAGCCAAGCTTTCATCTGAGCCACATGCTCGGCATATGAACCTAATACCAAAATGACAACAACATGCCTTGGTTTTCTACAGATTACACATACTTAATTCAAATTATCCATGAAAACACCACCGAGGCCCTTCTCTTGATACTATGGTATTTTTCAGACCTCTTTCTAAAGAACCATTCACAACATTTCTGGGAGCCAACATGGAGCTATGCTAAAGAAACGCGCATCTTAGCACAGAGTGGTGCCAAGGCGCCAGCGCCTGTCCGTTTGAGAGGGACTCACTGGGTACACTCAGAGCGTCAAGCCCATTCACCAAGCAAGGCCCAGGCCACTTCTTCCCACAAGAGAAATCCTTCCACATTTCTAATTTTACAAGCTGATAGTGAAAGCTCTGTGATAAAAAAACAAGGACTCACGGATTAATAAAGGAAAAGCAGCAGCAGCAGCAGCAGCAGCAGGCATCTCAAGAATGCCAAACGCAACCATGCGGGAAGAAAGCTGACCTGGCCTGTGTGTATCTGTGGGGTCTGAATTACTCCCTGGACACGCACAGTTTGGCCTGAAGGTAACTGCCCTAGAGTGATGGCTGGAGAGCCTCTCCCGGTGCCTGATCCAGCTACTACAGAAACCTGTAAAAATGATCATCACTGAGGATTAGTGCTACACCTTTTTTGTTGTGTTTCTTACCAAGAACTACTCCTCACTATCACAATTGGCCTCTTTCTCTGTTCTTTGGACATCTAAGCAGTGATGCCCCAGCCAGGGTACTTACCAACAGGAGGTGGCTACTGTCCTGGAATAGTCATTCTCTGAGGTAACAGATATTAAAGAACCCATGCTCCTCACTTTTGGTGCCCATGCTTCGGCGGCTAAGAATGTTCCAAGCACAAAGTTCTAAAGCAGTTAAACTACCTCACTATAGCCTCACGGTCATTAACAGCGAAGCCAATGCTAGGTTTATGCTAAGGTATGAACTGCCCTTTCTAACTTAAGAGAAACTTACAGCTAGAACTAAAAAGTGGTGAATTATTTTGCAATGAATTACATGTTCAACACATGTTATGCTAACGTTAGTCCAGAGGCAGGAGTGCAGTAATTAAAGCAATTTTTAACCCCCCAAATCACACACAGACGCACAGGCAGTTCAGGCCCTTTCAAGTCTGTTGTGTCTCTGCTCCAGGGAAAGTTCTTTCTTGTCTTGGTGCTGATGTGGCCTTGGGACAGGATTTGGGAAGGCCAGAGCATAACTCGGTCGTGAACAGAGAGGACAGCAGTCACTACTACCCAACCACTCTCGAGTGCTCGCCAAAAGAAAGTGATCTCTACTGTCAAAACACAATGCCTGCACTTCCCCGAGCGAACAGCTGCCCAAGTTTACTCAGATTCATTACTCATTGTGACTTCCTCAAAACAGCTGCAGACCAGTTTCTGTCACAAGTGACAGGAGAGCCATACAAACTGATAGCAAGGCCTCTGTGTGACCTCACTCTAACACCACCAATGATCTCCAACATGCTTGCACCCATGTTAAAAGAATTATTGAAAAACTGGGCTTATAACAACTTTAAGATTTACTTACATCCCATCATTTCCCAGACAATCTGAAAATTTGAAAAAAAATTTTTTTTTCTCCATGTAAGAGAATTTATGTATCGAGCATTGCACTAGGTCCAGTAGGATAGAAAGAACAATCAATTCCACTAACTTAAAGAAACAACTGCTCACCAAAAGCTATGAAACTAACTGCCCCATTTCCCGGGACGTGAATGGCAGAGCAGCAGAGAAGAGAGATACCAGGACAGGCCTGAACAGTAAGGAAGGCTTTGAATACAGAAGAAGAGCGTGTGCCAGCTTGATCTGAGCCAAAACAGCAATCTCAGACAGAAACCAGGGCACAGACAGCCAATGTGGAGCCCAGGAGGCATGGTTCATCTCACCTACCCTGGCTGTAGGCCATTTCAGATTTCAGGGGAAACCAAAGACCATCCCATATGGAACCAGCAGACTTAGCTACAACATTGCAATAATAACAATAACAACAACAACAACAACAATAATAATAATAAATTGGATCTATTCTACAAATGTTCCCAGCACAAAATGTAACTCGAATTATAAACTCTAACTTGATTCCCATAGAGACCCCCGCCGCCCCTCGCTTTCTCTCCAAACAACCCAGGCTCAAATTTCTCATCCCAGGATAGCTTCAGACTCTGTAAAAAGTAATGAAGATGCTGTTTGTGTAATTTACACATGGGAAAGTACAAATAAACATTTAATAACCAGATCTGGGAAAGTGAGGACTCTGATGGGCAGCCTCCACTGACTTCTGATGTAAATATATGGTTCTTCAAAAAGTTATGGAATGTGCATATTAAAAAATTATACTGGGGTTTAAAAAAATTTTTTAACACTATAATAGACTTATCTCTTAATTACATTTCCCACAAACATTTGAAGTATTCTTATACTCCTACCATGGCAGATTTCAAGCTTCCAACAAATGACACTGGACACAAAGTTGAGAAGAAATGGACATAGTTAGCTCTCCTAAGTCAATACAAAACAGCTTCAGTACACCCCTGGTCCTCCCTATTGATATTTACCATATTAGTAATTAAAACTGGGATAATTTTTAAATACTTAAATGAATAATTTAATATAATAGTACTTTGGGCCAGCACCATGGCATAGCAGGCAAACTGCCATGTGCAGTGCCAGCATCCCATATGGATGTTGTTTGTGTTCTGACCTCGTTCCGTGCCAGTAGTGTGGGAAACACAGCACAAGGTGGCACGAGTACTGGGGCCATTGCCACTAATGTGGGAGACCTGGATAGAGTAAATCACTCATAAATCCATAACACACATAAACATTTCATGAAAGAGTTTTTCAAAATAAGATACTAAATGAGAAGAGTTCCACTATTTTACACACACACACACACACACACACACACACACACACACACAAAAGGATTTTATTTGAAAGTCAGACTTAAAGAGAGGCAGGGAGAGACAGATATTTTTCATCTACTGCAACACTCCCCAGATGGCTACAACAGCCAGAGATGAGTCAGGCTGAAGCCAGGAGCCAAGAGCTTCATCAGGGTCTCCCATGTGGGTGTCAGGGACCCAAACATTTGGACTGTTCTCCACTCCTTTTCCAAGTCATGAGCAGAATATGGATAAGAAGTTACAAACGAGTTCCCATTTGGAATTTCAGAGTTGCTGGTGGTGGCTTTACCTGCCATGCCACAATGCTGACTCATTTTACATTTTTATGAGTTCCTTTAATGTCTGGTTTAACCGAAGATGGCAATCTTCTCATTTAATTCTGCGCTGAAATCTGTGGCAATACACTGTTTTAGTTGGTATATGGAGGAGATCTAGGTCTCCCGCACACCCAGTTAGAACAGGGAAGAATACAACAGCTTTTTCAAAAACATATGAATATGCTTTGATACCTAATTAAAAGGCTGAGAAAGAGACAGACACAAAGACAGACAGACACAAAGACAGATACGAGAAAATATCTGTCCACGTGACAGTTCACACTCCAAATGTCTGTAACTGCTGAGACTGGGCCAGGTCAGGAGCTGGGGTCTCAGAGTCTCTCACATGGATGGCAGGAATCAGACACTTGAGCTAACATGTGCTGCCTCCCAGGCTGTGCCATGACCACCGCAACTGGAATGCAGAGCAGGAGTATTCAAACGCAGTAACTACTAAGGGGATGCAGGTGTCTTCAAGAGCATCTGGCTTACTAGGCCAAACCCCAATACCCCAAGATGCTTACAGAAACACTTCATGCTTAGAAATTAACTCAGGCTTTCATTCACTCAAAATACTTTCTGGAGCCTGTCATTGGCCAGAGTAGAGCAAAGGGGATTCAGCATGAGCCAAAGTCAGTCAGTCCCTGGCCGCCCAAGAGCCAGAGAGATAGATGAAACAACACAGAGATGTTGGGACAGTTCTCATCTCTGAGAAAAAAAAAAAAATGAAGCATAAGCAACTAGAAAGTGACGAGGTCTGAGTAGCCCAAGGAGGGCAGGACGTGGAGCAGGCGATTTGCCATGGACAGCTTCTGTGAGGGAGCATTTACGCCAAAGCCATGCGAAAGAGGACAAAGTCACACCAAGCGCTATGAGCATATTCATTCCATGCCGTTCATCAAGTAGGCAGCTACTCAAAAGGCAACAGAAAATACATGAAATGGGTACACGTCATACTCTGTACTTGCTGTACCTCATTGGGAGCGTATAGAAGCAAGTCTAGCTATAATTTACCTTTTCTTCCAAATCCCCTGAGGAGTAGTCCTCTTCCGTAGGATGCCTGAAACATAGATTATGCTGATGCCACCACATCCACCAAAAGCCCCACGTACAAAGTCGTTAATTGAAAGAAATAATAAGATGATGCAATTGACAGCCTTAGCTGGCTTTGCAATAATATATATATGTGTAGATATATATATTATTGTTTTGTAAAGTACTGCTAATGACACTTGCAACGGGCACAACCTCACAATGTTGTAACTCAGATGTGACCAGCACTGGTAGACCAGCCCAGCCCGCAGCTAGGCTTCCGGGTGAAGGGTTTATGATGTCACAACTGAGCTGCAAACGTCACAAAGCTCCTGGACCTGCACCTAATACGGGGAATAAAAGATGGAAAAGTGTGAATTCACAAAACAGCAGATTACTTTATCAATGCCCACTGCCTGAAAAATCAAATCCCTGAGTTATCTAGCTCAATCTCAAGAACTATGATGAAAATTCACTAACGATCTAAGCAAGAAGTTCAAAACTAGGTTTACATGTTAAGACAAGATTGACTCTTGGAACAGGGGTGATGGATGGTGCAGTAAGTTAAGCTGCCTCTTGCAATAGCTAGCATTCCATACAACCACCAGGCCGCGTCCTTGCTGTCCCACTTTCAAGCCAGCAACCTGCAAATACGTTTGGGAAGGCAGTGGAAATGGCCAAAACTCTAGGGCCACTGCTACCCATGTAGGAGACCCAGATTGAGTGCCAAGCTCTAAGAGGTTTTGGTCTGGACCAGCCATCTGGGGAGTCAACCAACAGATCAAATATCTCTCTCTCTTGCAGCCTTTCACATAAAAAGAACTAAATCTTTAAAAAAAGATTCTCAAAAGAGTCAATATTACAATATTATACAGAATATTTTAAGGTTGAGAATGGGGAAATAAAAATACTATAAATTTAAAACTTACATAAAGATGCAAGATTTTTCACTATGGTGTTAAACTATGTATTTAGTTGAACTAAATGAAGACAAACAAACTGAAAAATGAAGAGTTGGTCTTCATTTTGGTGCCATGAGTTCTTGTCACCTAGAACAGTGTGGCTGATAAATAGCAAAGTCAATAGAGCTAGATTTTATTCAAGTTTAAGAATATCAACTGAAAAACTTTACCTAATGATTAGGTCATAACTATTCTTTTTTTATTTGTTTAATTCTACAGAGATGTTACCTCAAATCCTCTCCATGTGTAGGACATAATTATTACCTGTAATCTATTATCTGAATAAAATAGGAGGAAGCAGATGACACTTTTGGTATTATAAAAATAAATGGCCAAATTTAATGTCTCTAAAAATGCACTCATTGAAAACAAAATAAATATAAGCAATCAAGTACCATAAATTTTGACAACACTTACAGGAAGCAGTTAAAGGAAAACTGGGGTCCCTCATCCTTTGAGAAATAACGTTCTCAGCTAGTCTTTTTTTCCTCCAGCTAAATCTTAGCAATACTTAGACTTTTCTATTTATTATACGTGAAACATCAAAGAATTTCTTATTTACAATGCTTAAAGCATTATATGTTTTAACCAATATGATTATGTTTCATTGACTATCATATTTTGAAAGTAGTTTGAGAATAAACGTGATCTTTATACAAGTCAAAAGTTTATTCTCCGGAACTTGTAAAAGTCAATCCTGCATCTGATTTCACTAGAAGTGAAACTGATCATAAATTACTAGTCAAATATATTTAAAAAAA